TTAAAAAAAGCCTTTAACATCAATATTTCTAATTTTTTTGGATACTTACAAGTTAGAGATTTTCATAAGTAAGAAATTCATAAGTTTAATCCTTTGCATCGGGGAGCTGTGTCATATTTCTATAGTATTATGTTAAAACATGAAGTAGTAGATGAAGTCAAAATTAAGCAGGCCTGGGAGATAGAATTAGGTTTAGAGATCGATTCAGACAGTTGGGAAGAAGGCCTTTAGAACATACATACTTGTTCAATTACTGTAAGGTATAATTTAATTCAGTTTAAAACCTCGCATAGATTATACTTATCTAAGGTAAAATTGCACAGCATTTTCCCAAAGGTTTCTCCATTCTGTAACAGGTGTAAAGTAGCAAAGGAATCCTTAACTCACATACTTGTGCCCTAAATTACAGGAATATTGGGAAAACATATCTGATTGTTTTTCTAAAGCATTCAAAAAGAATCTCAAACCATGTCCACTTTTAGCTATAACAGGGATATTTAGTAGTTTAGAGATGTTTAATATACATGAAAGACAAGTCATATTATACGGTATGATTGCCAAGAGGGTTATTTTAAGAATGTGGAAAACAGATTTTGCGCCCAAGTTTGAAATGTGGGGTAGAGATCTTGTAAGTATGTATTTGAGAGGTTGGGGTACATCAATAATGACAAATCTGAGGTATTTGACAAAACATAGGGCCAGATTTTAGAATATCTCAATGTAATTGATGTATTGCATTCATAGCCAATGACCCTTGTTAATGACAAAAGTTATTAATAATGGAGTGTGATCTGAATGAATTGATAACGTATTTAATATAGTGCCTAAAGTATTATTTGACAGCCAATAAGTCAGGATACTGCTTTTTTTTGTATTGTGTACAATAATTGTCATCATTTTATTTTAATATACATGCACAGGACTAAGTGACTTTACAACATTTACGAATTTGTATCCTGCTTATGCATTACCTGACAAGTTAAATTATAATTTGCCTTTATATGCATTTGTCCCTCAGTGTTCTGTTGTTCTGTCATAGGTTATTACATTTTAATTTACATTGTATTATTGTAATTATCTTTTCTTCGTTATCGTTGTCCTGTTTGTTCTGTGAAAAAGCAAAACACTAACATAAATGTTTAAAAAAAAATTTTTTTTTAAACGTGTAGAGGACATCTGCAACCAAAGGAACGTCTCGGTTACGTATGTAACCCTCGTTCCCTGAAGGAGGGAACGGAGACGTCACGTCGGAGGACCGACGAAATTGGGATCTCGCTTAGAGGGACCAATCTACTTCGAGTGTAAACTAAACGAGCCAATGCACATTGGCATGCGATTATTGCATCCAGCTGCTGCTGATCACAGCGTGAGTATAAGTAGGCAGCAGGTGCAGCGCATATTCAGGTTTTCGCTGAGGAGCCGAGCCGGTGACCCGGCCGCTCAGCGGTGGTACAGGAGCTGTGGCGACGGGACGTGACGTCTCCGTTCCCTCCTTCAGGCAACGAGGGTTACCATACGTAACCGAGACGTTCCCTTTCAGTCGGTCACTCTCGACGTCACGTCGGAGGACCAACGAAATTGGGATCCTACCAAAGGGCCACAGCTGCTGCCCTTCCAGTGTCCTGTGGAAGCCACCTGCGCCCCTATTTTTTGGAGGCTCGGACGGGACAGCGCAAAGCTAGGGCTGGGTCTGCCTCCTCCGAGACAAAATGAAAGAACAGACAAAAGCGAGACAAGGCAAGGTGTCATGATGAGACTAAATGAGATGAGAAGAGAGAGGAAAACAGAAGAGACAAAACAATATGACACAAGACCACACAAAACAGGACAAAATTAAAAAAAAAGACAAAAATGAGATGAGACACGGTGACAAGAGATAAGATAAAATGCAGTGAGATGAGATGAGAGAAAAACAGAAGAGACAAATCTATTTGAGATGAGACAAAATTAAAAAAGAGCAGACACAAAAAAAGAGATGCAACAAGCTGAGACAAAATCAAAGAAGGGAACAGATAAAAATGAGACAAGGCGAGATGACACAAATTAGATCAGATGACAGGGGAAAACAAGAGACAAAACAACATGAAATGCAATAAGATGAAACAAAAATAAAGAAGAGAACAGACAAAAATGAGATGAGGCAAGGCGACACAAGATGAAAGTGAAAGTGACGTGACATGTGGCCAAGTATGGTGACCCATACTCGGAATTAGTGCTCTGCATTTATCCCATCCAAAGCACACACAGCAGTGAACACACACACACACACACACCGTGAACACACACCCGGAGCAGTGGGCAGACATTTTTTATTTTGCTGCGGCACCCGGGGAGCAGTTGGGGGTTCGGTGCCTTGCTCAAGGGCACCTCAGTCGTGGTATTGAAAGTGGAAGAGAGCCCTGTACATTCCCCCCCCCCCCACCTACAATCCCTGCCGGTATGAGAATCGAACCCGCAACTTTGGGTTACAAATCCGACTCTCTAACCATTAGGCCACGACTTCCCCCAAAAGATGAGACCAAATGAAATGAGGTGCGAGAGAAAAACAGACAAAAAGAGACCAAACAACATGAGACGAGACAAGACAAAATTAAATTCAATAAGATGAGACCAAATAAGAGACAAAATGAGATGAGACAAGAAGACACGAGACGATACAAAATGAGATGCAGTGAGATGAGACTAGAGAGGAAAACAGAAGAGACAAGACAATATGACACAAGACCAAACAAGACAAAACAAAATAGGCAAAATAAAAGAGAATACACAAACGAGACAAGACCAGGTAACAGGAGATAAAATGAGATGAGACGAGAGAGGGAAAAAAAAAGAGACAAATCGATATGGCAAGACCAAACAAAACAAGACAACATTAAATGCAATAAGATAAGAAAAAATTAGATGACACGTGACAAGATAAAATGAGATGCAATGAGATGAGAAAAGAAAGGAAACAAAACAAGACGAGATCACATGATACAAAAAAGACAAGAATAAATTAGATGAAATGAGATGAGACAAAAAGACAAGAGACAAGAGAAGAGACAAGAGGTGATGCAAGAAAAAACAAAACAAAACAAAAGAAAAAAGAAGAAAACAAAAGAAAAAAGAAAAGAAAAGAACCGTTGAGCTGAGGTTCCTGTGTGGTTGTTTGAAGGTAATGTGCAGCTCTAGTCTGCTCTGAAGTTGAAGAAGCTCATTGAAGAAAGGACTGAGTCATCATCATTTCTAGAACGTCAAAAACAATCCAGCTCTGCTTTAAAATGCAGGCCAGTGGCTCTGTGTATGGAGATAAACCTCTCAGACTCAAGGGTCTCAATTTTACTCTCAAAATTGAACAAGAGTATTTCAAATGAGCTGGAACTCTTGGGGATATCGCTGCGGTTGAGATGTGCAGGTAAAACATTTCAAATAAAATCTGCTAATAATGCAGTGCAGAGGTGTGACGCATACTTGCTCCAAATTGTATTGTCTTTGGGACAATAAAATCAATTCCCAGCCTTCATTCACATATGCATGTTCATTTTCACAAAATACCATTTCTGATGAAAAAGAATCGCAGATAACATTCTGAAAACATGAATTTAACTTTAATATCCATCACGCTGTCAAAATCAGCAACATAATACAATGTGTTTGAAAGTTATTTGTGCGTTTCTACACAATTTGATCAAACTAAAGAGAAAATATCTGACTTAATCTAAGATATAGTTCACGCAAAAATGAAAATTCTGTTAAACCTGTATGACTTTCTTTCCTTTAACAAAAGGAGATATTTTCTCGCTATGTTCATGGTGCTCTTTTCCATACTCTGAAAACTCATATAGTTTTAAAGGGGTCATATGATACAATTTCAAGTTTTCCTTTCTCTTAGGAGTGTTACAAGCTGTTCGTGAATAGATAAGATCCCTAAAGTTGCAAAGACTAAATCTCAAACCCAAAGAGATATTCTTTATAAAAGTTAAGACTTGTCCACGCCCTCCTAAAACGCCGCGTTTAAACACGCCCCCACATGTCTACGTCATTGTGTGGGAAGATTTGCATAACACCGCCCAAATGTTCATGCAAAGAAAGAAGATGTAACTTTGATTCTCGCTGTAGTAGTGTAGCTGCCGCCACCGCCATGTCGTGGAGACACTTTGTGTTTCGTTGTGAAAGCGAAACTACTTTGTTTGGTCTTCCAAAAGAGTACACGACTAGAAATCAGTGGTTAAGTTGCATTTACAACACTGATCCAGAACAGTTTAACCCAAATATTCAGATGTGTCCAGCGCATTTTACGGAGGACGAGGACTGTTTCCTGGGAGAGTAGCCTACAGTGCCGGCTGTTCTGACTCACAGACTGTAAGTACGTTTTCATATTTAAAGAATTTGCAACTGATGATTCAAACACGAGTTTTTAGCAGTGTAGAGTAGCACTTGTTGTTTGTCATTTCTCTGATCACAAATGCAGACATGGTTTTATGTTTACGTGGCGCGATGCAATGTAACACGTTCCCACACAAACATGTCCTCACTGCATACAACAAATGCCTCGTTTGTAATGGGTTTTATTGGTTTTGTCTCATCGCTCCGGGACACGGCATCACAGTATGGTAGGGGCGTAATATTTCCATCACACACTTGAGGTATTCGGCCAATCACAGCGCACTGGATAGCTGGCCAATCAGAGCATACCTTGCAGAGCAAATCAACGCGTTTCGGAAAGGCGGGGCATAGAGGAGAAACAATAATGTACAGTATGTGGAAAATAATGTTTTTTTTTAACCTTAAACCGCATAAACACATTTCATTACACCAAATACACAAAATAATGTTATTTTTAGCAACGTCATATGACCCCTTTAAAAAATATTTATTTTATGTTTCTCAGAAGAAATAAAGTCACATGGGTTTAGAACAACACGAAGGCGAGTAATTGTTGACAGAAATGTTATATTAGGGTGAACTATTCCTGTAAGGTAAAGTCTGGATTGACTTTGCAATTAGCCATGACTCACCACCAGCAGAGCAAACAGAATGACCCCACAGCTCCAAACGTCTGCTTTCCTTCCGTCATACTTCTCTCCCTAACAGAGACAAGACAAAGTCAAAATGCAATCCTGATTCCAGATCAAGTCATGCATTCATAGGTCTCTTTTTTACTGACAGTCAGGTAACACTCACCTGGATGACTTCAGGACATGCATAATGAGGAGATCTGTTAAAAGACAACATCAGCTTGAGTTATCAGCAGTAATCTCTGTGCATTCATCTCTCAATATTTTTATTTATTTTATTTATTTTAGTCTTATTTATGCTTTTTTTCCCTTCCATTTTAAAAAATACTTTTTAGTAATTACATTAAAACATCAAAGCTGTGGTGCTCATTGGGATGACGCCGGTTCAAGTCTGACCTGCAACATCTCCAGATCTCATCTCTTCCCAATAAGTTACTATAATCACTATATTTGTGACACAAGACAGAGCCAAGACTCCCTCGTGGATATGAGCTTGTTTAAAAACTAAATAATGACGGCTGTCTCGTAGTTTTTTTTATTGAAAATTTTTTCAATATATACACACACAAAAATAAGCACGTAAGCACTCCTTATTAACAATCTGAGTTGCACGGCACTACAATTGCACGCTCGCTGGTTCCAAGAACCCTCAACTGATGGCTGGGCTCTCTATTATAGCCCTAACTCCACCCCTCCGGCTCGTACAGGTGAGTATACATAAGTTTCTGTGTAAACTATTTAAAGTACCTTATGCATAAATAATATCCGCTATAACAGCATATACAACAGCATACAACATTAACAAATTATATTTTTCTTTTCCAGGTAGTACACCCCTCTTAAAATAAACATGGCAAGTGAAAATAGATATAATATCCGTGTACCATTGGGATGTGTGGGGAATTACTGTAGGAGAAAGCATGTCATTTGTGTATAACCAGTGCCATTCACTTCAGTGGCGATCTAGTTCTTCACAATACTATTTCTGTCAAATAAACATATAAAACCATAGAAGGTAAGCTGTAATTCCCCAAAGCAAAAGCACTCTGAATTTCAGTAGACGTTTCCCATCTGCACTGATCCGTGACGTGTGGCACTGTTTGCTCAGAATGATTAATATCACGATCCGGTTGGAGGGACAAAGATACACTAAAGAAGCTAACAAAGATAACATCTTCGCAGAGTAATTAGGGTCACAAAATGTTGACGGTACTTCCTGTTTCACCAGCTGACGTCCTGTCTCCATTAATCTTTCTTGACAAATCCTCTCTACAACGGTGTTGTGCATCTGAGCATAACACTCGTCCCATCAACGCAAGTGTGAACGGGGTTTTTTTCAGAGATTAACAGGCACGTTCAGAGTTAATCATATTTGGAGAGTTTCACAGTGAGCTCGCACGATCCCTCGGATGCCTTCACAAGCGTGCGCCTATGCAAATATGAATATATCCTGTTAGTGTGAGCTTTTGCTTATCATCTAATGTAGTATTCAACTCAAAGTACTCCATCTGCATACAGAGACATTACAAACATCAACTGAAAAGCTGCCGTTCGGCTTCAATGAGAGATGATGTTGAAGGAAGAGCTTTATGTAAAGAAGCTGATAGAATAAAAAAAAAACAATAAAGTAGGTAATTGCCAGTTAAGACTTTTTTTTCTCTGAATGATAATTTTATATCTCGCAGTTTTTTCTGCCACGGAATAAAAAAAAATGATGGTAATTGCAATTTTTCTCACAATTATTTCGCAGTTTTGAGTTTAAAATTCAGACATTTTTCTCAGAACTGCCCGTTTCTGAGAAAAAAAATAATTATAATTATAAAAAAATAATAATTAAAAATATAATTTTGTTTCTGCCATGGAATAAAACATTGAAAAAGGTAATTGCAACTTCTTTATCACAGAATTCAGACCTTTTTCTCGCAATTGCAAGTTTATGTCTTCCAATTAAGACTTTTTTCTCTCTCAGAATTTCCAGTTTATAGCTCACAATTCTGACTTTTCTCACAACTGACCCTTGGCAAAGACCCGCACCTCCTTAGTTACTGTTGCTACGTCCGACAAGCCAGGGTGCTCTTACGCCACACATCATGTTCTCACACAGTGAAAAATACATCGCGGAGCAAAGAGGACACTGACAACACGCCGACAGACAAGAGCTCGTTGCTTTTGGTATGAAACAAAGTCTCAGCTTTCAAATTCATTCTTCATTTTGTAAGAAATTCAAACAATAAATACTGTTTTGTGGCTCTTTAATGTGTTGTGATCTACTCTCCTGTCTGTTGTTTTTGTCGAGATTATATCTCACAATTTTTTTTTTCACCATGGAATAAAAAAAATATGATAATTGCAACCATTTTTCACCTCAAAGTTGCAAGTTTTTATCTTCACAATTCAGACTTTTTTTCTCCAAATCACTAGTTTGTACCTTGTAACGATTCTATTTTTTTTCCCACCATGGAATAGAAAGTAAAGATATTTGCAACTTTTTATCTAACAATTCTGTCTTTTTTCACACAAATTTGAGGTTTATCCCATAATCCAAACATTTTTCTCAGAATTGCTCATTTATCTCTGACAAATTCAAGTTATAAACCCGCACCTGTGTCGTACCTGAGTTTACATTTCATAATTATGATTTTCTTTCTCTGAACATAATTACAACTTTTTTATCTCACAATTCCGACATTTTTCTCTTGATTATGAGTTTATATCTCACAATTTAGACCTTTTTTTTCAATTTAGACAAGTTAAAATCTCACAGTTCTGTTTTGTTTTATATCTATCAATTTTGAGAAGAAATGTCTGAATTGTGAGATATAAACTCGTAATCATGAGGAAATATGTGAGAGTTAACACGTTGAGTTATTACTCGCAATTCAGAGAATTTGATAACAAAAGTCAGACTTTTGAGTAAAAAAAGTGATAATTGTGAGATCATTTTGCAGTTACCTTTATTATTATTATTAACCCGTGGCAGGAATAAGCTTCCATATTCATGGCCAGCTCTGAAAATAAGAGCAGAATGGTGTAATAATTCAGAATTGATCTCAGATGGAGCTGTCAAAGCACATGGTATCTTCCAGAATACTCTACAAATATGTCACAAAGCCCTTTATCATAAATACTATTGCAACAGAGGCCAGTTATTGGACTGGTTAAATTATTGATTCTAACATGCAGCTGCCATTACATGTTTTATAATAAAACACTGCTGAATCTGTTCAGAATGCATCAAAGTCTAAAACAGACTCCTCTCGACGGGTCTACTTTCGCTCATTATGATTCTGAAGGCGTAACGACCGCAGCATTTCAGTGTTTTCCTCCGCAGCAGGTGCGTTAAATCGGAGGGATCAAAGCGAATCGGATGTTTTAAGGCCGTAAAATGTTTTCATTGTTTATGTTGATGAGGAAAGCAAATTAGAGATAAAAATACAGCCATTAAGGGATGAGTTTATGGAGGACCCCTGCAGCGCGTGGTGCCAGATCATTTATCTACTCCAAGCTGTTTGCTAGAGCTCATTTCCTCGCTCATTTCTGCAAAACTCGTCAACCAATGACAGGCAGATATGAGATGACTCATAACTGATGTGGGTGTGCAAACCATCAGACATATGGGTTTAAATGTCTCTTTTTGGTGCAATGTACGATGATCATTAAGCCAAAACAGTGCGTGGTAATAGGGATACAACAATAAACACCATAAACTCCAGCGGAAGGCATCCATGAAGCTCTGAATCAATAATGGCGGTATTTCGAGTGTGTAGGTTAGTCTCTGAGTCAAAGTGGGGCTGTTGCAGGTTGTACTGTTACACAAAGCCACTATTTATCAAATCCTGAGAGTATTTACATAAATTTGGATTAAAAAAAAGCATTTATTAGTGTGAGCTAAATCACATTACACAATTAGGAAACATTTGACTGACTGACTGACTGACTGAATAAATAAATACATTTTAAGTATTTAAAGAAGGAAGAAGCAATAATTAAATAAATGGATAAAATATTTTTGAAAGAATAAATTAACAAATGAATGAATT